AAGCATGACTGTGCCAGACTGTTTCGGGGGACTTTCACTGAGTCTATGTGTGTGTGTGTGAGTGTGTGTGTGTGTGTGTGTGTGTGTGTAGAAGAGCAAGCTCCTGTGTGTATGGGTTCCGAGGGCTCGTGCGCACCAGCGCGCAGTTCGCACACACACACACCCACACAAACACACATACACACACAAAAGCTTTTTTTTTTTTTTTTGGCCCGCCACGACTCCGTCTGCCTCCTCATCTTCTTCTTCTTCGTCCTCCTCTTCTTCTTCGCCGTCCTCCCTCCTCTTCTTCCTCCCTGTCCTTCTCTCCCTCCTCCTCCTCCTCCTCTGAGAATGTGCCACGTGGCACTTGCTGTTTTCTTTTTTTTTTTGGACCCGCCATAACTCCCCTCTCCTCCTCCTCCTCATCTTCTTCTTCCTTGTCCTCCAGGTACAACTTTCGTACAAGGCCAATCGAGCCAGTGCGAATTCGAGCAACAAGAGATCCAGTATTTGGGACATTGTTTGACGCCGCAAGGCATCCGTCCACTTGCGGACAAGATCAAGGTGATTCAAGATTGGCTGCCACTGACAAATATCACGGAAGTTCGTTCTTTTATGGGATTGGCCGGGTATTATTAATGCTTCACTGGCGGGTACGCACAGATTGCCACACCTTTGTCGAAACTGCAGTCACCGAAGGTGCCCTTCCCTTTCACCGACGAAGTCCGAAGTTTGTTCCAAAGATTGAAGACGGCATTGCTTCTCGCTCCCTTCTTGAGTATCTACGTACGCACCAGCCAAGAGCAACGACTTCTTGGACCGACTATCGCAGGACCCTCCTTCCATGGACGGTCATCAGGAGGTGGATCGCATCATCTCGCACCGCAAATACGGCAACAAGCCAATGCAATACAAAGTCGCATTTAAGGGGTGCGACCGCGACGACACACGGTGGATTTTGCGAGCAGACTTGCAAGCATCCGCACCACTTACCTACTCCCATTACGAGACCCAACGGCGAGCAAAGGAAGCTTCACAACCTGCCCCTCCCACTCGAACTTCGCTCCCTCCCTCTGACATACAGTTTTGCCCTCGTTGATAAGCTCGGTCTTTCAAAGAGGCGGGGGGTGTGGCATTCGCTGTTCCAAATGGGCCCTTCGCAAGGCCCTGTCCGTAGGAGTAGGGGTTAGCGGGTTAGATTAGTACTAGGCCCTCCCGCGTTAGAGGCCTAGTTAGGCCAGCAGCTGGGGAACGGGCCCTGGGCGCCATTCCCAGAGGCACAGGCCCTGGGCGCCAGTTTAGTCCCAGGCCAACTGGCGTTGGGGCGCCAAGGTGCTAGATTTGGGCACCAGACACGGGCGCCGTTAGGCACTGTTTGAGGCGGGCTCCCAGTCCGAGGAACGCTACATATAGCTGGTCCGCCTAGGCATTCCTCTTGGCATCCGTAAAGGTACTCAATAACGGTAGCTGTAGTCCACAATAGGATAGCGGTAGTCTTCCAGCTCTTGCTGTTGCGTTAGGACTTCGGCCACGAGGTAGCGCTGCAGCCTACTGCAGAGGAGGTTGGAGTTAGACTGGCTATGGCGGAGGCCAGGGAGACTCACCTGACGACTTACCTTTGATGCCGATAGATAGATAGATAGACAGATAGATAGATAGATAGAGATAGATAGATAGATAGATAGATAGATAGAGAGAGAGAGAGAGAGAGAGAGAGAGAGAGAGAGAGAGAGAGAGAGA